GTGGGGATGGGTCAGTTTGCCCAAATTTGGATGATTTGGGTGATATGGATTGTATTCAGCAAAACTGATCTTCCAATTTCATGGGGTAATGCGGGTAATGTCATAAAATGGGGATATTAAATCTGTTTGGAATGCAGTAGAAATGCAGATGTTAATCACAAATCTGGATCGTTTGGCTCTGGTACTCTGTTTTTTGTTCCCAAAAAAGCTGATGACCCCAGACACTGAGCTTCGGGATCGGCAGTGCCAGGATGGGCGCACAGCGCTGCTTTCTGCTTCTCTACAGGGGCATTTGGAGGCACTGCCTTTCCTGTGAACATTTAGGCAGCAAGTTGTGATCCGCCATGTTATTCTCCATGCAAGCAAAATGATCCGCTTTGTGGACAACTGAAGTACGGTATACGTTCCACGACCTACTGCTTCCGTTCTCAAACTGCAATGGGACATGACATCATGCAAGTTGGACTCAACGGAAGCAGGTCGCCAAACTGCTTTGCACTGCAGGACTGTACTAGTCTTGCACCGCGCACATCCGCGCACCGAAAGAAAGTCTATATCAGCAGTATCGGAACCTACCATGTGCCAAAGTCCTGACATATTGATATTACGCTAACAGTTCACACACATCCAATCATCCAATGTACAATTTTGATAGATTTTCAGTGCGTAATGGAGCTGTTCTTTTTTCACCCAGCCTGAAATCAGATCTGATGTCAATGATAGGAGCTGCTGTAGATCCTGAAGGTGATGGTGCTTCTCCTATGCGTCCCGGCGAAAGTCTGCGGTACCAAATATTGGGGGTTCCATTGCTGGGGATACCCCAATAGCTGGATGGTTTATAATGGAAAATCCAATGAAAATGGATGATTTAGGGGTATTCGCATTTTAGGAAATACTCATATGTCGAATTTCTATGGCCTTGGTACTGATCATACCACTACTTTGCTGCTAAACAGCTCTAGAGATGCTTCACTTCTTCACAAGTGACATGCACCACTTGACAGGTAGTGAACCACGTACAGACGATATCCAGCATCTGAATATAAAGAAACAATAAGAAACAACTGTAGTCGAATAGTTACAGTATCTTCATGAGATGCTCCTCTGAGCTGATTCTGTGGACATTATTGAGCTCCCTTGAGCTTCTCAAGGCTTGCCGCTGCAATGCAAGGAAGATTAGAGGTACACCGACTGTTTGGTAGGCCATAGATGGCCATAGTTTTGGTGTTTCTCTCTCTCTCTCTCTCTCTCTCCGTGTCTCTGTCTCTCTGTTGCGTGATTGAAGTAGATGCTTGTGTTCGTGCCTGATATGCAGATGCATGGGCATGGCTGGATGGAGAGATATAGGATGTCAATGGATGTCAATGATGTCATAATGTCACCACAAAGACAATTCAAGATACCTCCATTGGGTATGACTGAACCATTTGCCACAAGAATTGATGGGTTTTGTGCACATTTTGTAGTATAATATGAGGGTGCGGCTGGCGGTCACTGTGAGAATCATTTCCCTATACACATCCATGCTTGTATAATACACATCTTGCTTTTGAATAAACGCCCAAACAAAAACTTCAACAGCCGCGTCAAACAACGTTGAAACATTTTCAAGTAGTGGCCCGGTTTGGCACATTGATGAAGCTAGCTGTGCCCTGGCCATGATACGATACCATTTTTTTGAAATCATCCCAAGTCGCAGCGGCAGATGGTGAAGTTCCTGGCCGAAGCGAGAGCTGCAGCCCCAATTCTGTGCTTTGAACTGCAGCTTGATCCCAAAGGCATTGCTGAACTACGTATAATATCGTATGATTGTGTTGAACCATGTTGAACCAAAGAAGTGGAAAGAACATGAACTGCCTTTTTTTGCTTCAGGCTGCTATTGATCGGCCGACGGCCAACGACACCACACCACTGCATGTGGCATCACTGACCATCCGGCATGCCTTTTGCTTTCATTGCATACATATTGTTGCACGCTACATACCACTGAATTAGCACAGTTCTTTTCGGGTTTTAAACAGCAGTGGTGTTTTCTATGCCAAGCAGCTTCGCTGGACATGAATTCCAAACCCATGCCAGGCAAGGACACTTGGATGTCCAACACTAAGCTTTGAGAGATGTATGAGATGTTGCAGTGCTGGCTGTGGATCTCGGATTGCGAGCCACTGTTTGATGATTTTGATGTCATGAGAGCACATCTTATTTCAACATGTTTCAACATGTTTCAAGTGAATGCCACTCCTATTACTCCTATTTCATCCTATTTCCTTATTCACAGATGAGCGGCTCAGAGCCACGCGCTTAGGTGGTGACTTACTTGTGTGAGTCTGGCGCCATGTGTGACAGGAGATGGGTCTACTGGGTAACTGGGTAACTGGGTAGCTTGTTTTCTCTTGCTGAATCCGGCAGTCTGGACATGTCTGGACTTACTCAACACGCTTTGGAGTTGGTTGTTACGTTCGTTTAAACATGTATGCAGTGTATGCATGCTTTGCTTCGAGATCGATTCAGTCTCAAGCAATGGATCAAAGAGGACTCTCTCTATGGTATCACGATCCCATGAAAGATATGAAAGTGCAATCAATTTCAATGGATCTACGAAGATCTAAGATGATCTAAGCACTCCACACATTCGGTGGCATTTTGTGACCTCCATCCAGCAGTGACAACAAGCAACACGTGGGCACCTGATAGCCATCGAAACCGCCATCGTCATGGGCGCTTGCAGCGATATTTGGGACCTGTGGCGCAACTATTGGCCAGTCCTGGCTGGTAATGCTTTGGAATGGTATGAGTTTGCTGTCTATGGTGCCTGGGACATAGTTATCATAGTTGGCCGATGTTGGCCGATGCGATCTCTGAGGTATTCTTGATAAAGAAAAACAGAACATATTACAAGACAGTGACAGTGCTGATCTGAGACAGTTTTTGCATCCTGTAACTATTTTAATCTATTTTACCAAAGATTCCGCAAAAATGGTCCAACACTGCCATAAATTGCACCCGTGGAGATGAGCCGCCTAGCCACATGCAGCATATTGGTCTGAGGTTATTTGGAGATTTATATGGAGAGAAACTTCTTTCGAGGTTCCGCTTTGGCGACGTGGCTGGGATTTACAGCCACATTTGCAGCCCGTCCGTTGGGCGGGATGTTTCTGGGGGTTCTGAGCGACTCCTTTGGGCGAAAGCTGGCTGTGGTGATCACCGGTACTGGCATGTTGGTTGCAACCGTTGGGCAAGGATTGCTTCCAACACCAAGAGATTGGGGAGAAGACAGTGTAACAGGACAGGGTGGAAACATGTCGAAACACATTATTTTGTTTTATGTATTCTTATGATTTCTTATGTACTGTATTGGAGTGTCTATAGTCTATAGTGTCTGCGGTGTCTGCAGTATCTGCAGTCACTGTCAGCAGTCTGTACTGCCCTGAGGTCAACTTGGTTTGTATCTCCTTTTCACCTTGCGGTTGCTACAAGGCCTGTTCACAAAATCACTCAAGAAAATGGAGTTGTTTTACCGTCAAGCGGGTTTTCTTCATGACATCAAGAGCGACGCATCAGAGCCACAAAAAGGATCTGCACAACATGCCATGCATTTAATTTATGATCTTTATGTCTGCAAGGACTTTGTACATGAACTTTTTGAGACTTACAACATGAAACCTTGTTGTTTGTTGTGCAAGGCCTTTGTGCTGGTGGCGAGCGCAGATCAGAGGTGGCAGCGCCCAGCTATGGGAAGATGTGTGGCTTTGATCGCCATCTCCGGCAACATGGGTTTTCTCTTGGCTCGGGTGGCGATTTGGTCATCTCAGTGGGTCTTCAATGAAGATGAGATGTTGCATTGGGGATGGCGATGGCCTTTCCTGTCGGCCTTCTTCCCTGGTGTGATCAGCGCCTCCGGGAGAGCATTTTGCCTCAAGGAATCCGAGGTCTTTGAGGCAGAACAGCACCTGTTGGAGGAGAGCGACAGTGACGACAGTGATGAGGAGTTCGTGGTGAAACAGACATCACAGACGCGGAGCAAAGAGAGGAAATCCACCAGGAAACATTTGAAAAACTTTGTTGGGAGCAATGTCTTGGAAGTTGTGATAGGGATTGGAGGTGTGATCTCTGCAGCAGTCTTCAACTATGGTGGATGTGTCTGGGGTAACTCCTTCCTGAAAAAGCATGGGGCATCTCGAGACTACTTGATGCTGGCGGGGATTTGCTCCAGACTTCTTCAGATGCTGCTGGCATTCCCCATGGGTTGGCTCACAGACACCTATGGTTGTGCTTTCATGAACTTCGCTGGAGCTATGGTTCAAACCTTTGCAGGCTTCCCCATGTTCATGGCTCTGAGGGCTGATCCCACGAGCCTCCCCAACTTGTTTGTCACCTATACCTTTTGCTTTGCTTTGATTGCTTCCTTCAATGCGACCATTTGTATGTATTGTGCGGAGTTGTTTCCCACATCTGTGCGAAACCTGGGGGTTGGCGTCAGCTTCAATGTGGGTGTTGGTTTTTTTGGTGGTTTTGCACCACTGATGGCTGAAGCTTCTCTGGCCTGGTCGCCCTATGGTCCTGGAATTCTATTCTCCCTAGCGGGTGCAACCACCTGCATCACCATGTTGCTCAGCGTTGTTTGGCAGCGGGCTGGCAAAGTTCGATTGGCGCATATCCGACCCAGGCCCTACTTCGGAACTTGGGCAGATGGAGAGGAGGAGAAGTGAGTTCAGGCAAGCTCCCAACAGGTGCACCTTTGTAATCCATTGTAATCTCATATACATCCATATCATATACCATATATATGTAACTATATATAATATCATCTGGCTGAACATTAGCGTGCTTTCGCAGTTTCGTGCGCTTTCATTCTTTATATATATTTTGCATGAAAACAGGCACATGACACTGCCTGCTGGATTGCAAGGGAATAATTATGCTCTGCAGAGCTGTGTGTACTCTTCAGAATATTGCTTGGTAGGCGGATGTTTCGGAATTTTGCGTGCAAAGGACATGCTGATAATATCCTTAAGAGCCTCTTAAAGAGAAAGACGGACAGAATCCGATCTGAAGTGGAGAATCGTTTTGCCTTGTCAATCTGTACCGGCCAAAGAAAACGGCAACTGCACCGCGGATGTGTGACTGCCTTGAAAAGTAGCACCTGTGACAACAGGTGAATTGGTGCGCCTCGGGTCGTTTCATTTGTGCTGTTGGTCTAATGTTTTGCTGTTTTGTACACACTTCTGAGATTAGGCAAACGAGTGAATGAAGCGTGGCCTTATCTGACATGACGCACAAGAGCCGCTGGATCTATAGTCTTTAAAGGGTAGCTTCCCTTGTCATGGTCATGGTATAACTTAACATCGTATCACTTTTCTGTAAAGACATGCGGCAAATGCCAGTGAACAAGAGGCCCTCGGAGCACGCACATGTTGGTTCTCATTGTTGCCTTGATCGTGGCTCTAGTTCACCTTGCAAGCAGCGTCTGACCATGATCATGCTGCCAAAGCAACGGAGCCGCGGAAGTCTTCATGCTGAATTACAACCTCGCATCAGATCAGCAAGCAGCCAAAAGTTAGCACCCAACCCTTCACATAACAAAATTCCTCTGCTGGGTGAATTTGTTTGGGGGTTATTAACCTAACTGGCTTCTTGGATGGGATATAACTAACCATAAGCTTGATGAATAAATTTTACTGGCACATCGGCACATCTCTTAAATCACAACTCGCAGCTGCTCGCCCCACCCTGGTCACCATGGGATCTGCTTCAGATGTTCTCGAACTTCTGCGCAGCTATTGGGCAGTCCTTCTGGGAAATACCTTGGAGTGGTATGAATTTGCTGTCTATGGTTGCTTGGATGCTGAAGTCCATTGAATGGCCAAAGGACTTAATAAACGTGATCGAAATTGGTTGCTTTTGCATCGCATTGAACTCAATCCAATCGTGAGAGTGCCGAAAGTCGAAAAATACATGTCGTTTGACCAAACACCCAAACACAATTGAAAGCTGACAGCCCAAAGCCGCTGAAGCGAAAGTACGCTTATTGATTGAATTCTTGTTTGACATCTTTCTGTGGATGCTGGAGTGTTGAGGCTGCTCCTTTAAAACCTTGCGCTTTAAAACCTTGTGCTGGATTGCTGACCCCCCGAGACCTTCAAGTAATGCTGTTGAACTTGCCAAAGATACCAAAGTTTTATCTCTTGACACAGCATTGTCCGGTGCGATGCACATTGATGCGCCTGAGGTTACATGGAGGTCTACATGGAGAGAAACTTTTTCCGTGGATCTGCTTTAGCTACATGGTTGGGATTTACTGCCACCTTTGCAGCACGTCCTTTAGGCGGAATGTTCATTGGAATGCTGAGTGACACGTTTGGTCGAAAGCTGGCAGTGGTGATCACCGTCATTGGGATGTTGACAGCTACAGTTGGGCAAGGATTGCTTCCAACACCCAGGCGTTGGGGAGATGACAGCGCACTCGGCAGTACAGGCCTTTGCCTTTTATTTTGCTTGCGATTGGTGCAAGGACTTTGTACGGGAGGTGAAATTGCTTCGGTGTCAACATATATTACAGAAGTGGCCGGTCAGAAATCCATGGGACGCTGTATCTCATGTGTGTCAATCTCTGTGAATGTGGGCTTCGTGGCAGCCAGGGCAGTGATTTGGGCAGTTCAATCCGCCGTGGGTCCTGAGGCCATGATGGATTGGGGATGGCGTTGGCCTTTTCTTTTGTCGGCCATTCCTGGATTGATCAGCGTATGGGGTCGGCTGTTTTGCCTCAAGGAATCGGAGCTCTTCGAAGAACAACATGATTCAGATGAATCGGACAAGGAAGAAGCCATGCTGGAGGTCAGAGATGCTGCAAGGAAATCCACCAGGAGACACTTGAAGGAGTTTGCCTGCACTCACTATTTGGAAGTGTTGATTGGAATTGGAGGTGTCGTATCCTTTGCAGTTTTTCAGTATGGTGGCATGGTTTGGGCCAATTCCTTTCTGAGGAAGCATGGTGCTCCTGTGAATGTCTTGATGTTGGCAGGGATTTGTTCCAGACTTCTTCAGATCTTCCTTGCCTTTCCAGTGGGTTGGTTGGCTGACAAATATGGGATGGCCTTGATCACCTTCGCAGGTGCTTTGGTGCAAACCTGTGCGGGTTTGCCACTGTTCATGGCTTTGCAGGCTGATCCCCATAGTGTCACCAACCTCTTTGTGACCTATGCGGTTGGTTACGCTTTGATTGCCTCTTGCTTCACCACCATATTCATGTATTGTGCCGAACTTTTTCCAACAGCTGTTCGAAACCTAGGGGTTGGTGTCAGCTTCAATGTGGGATTCGGATTTTGCGGAGGGTTTGCACCCCTGGTCGCGGAAGCAGCCCTGGAGTGGTCACCCTATGGTCCAGGGCTTTTGCTGTCGTCTGCTGGGGCAGTGACCTGTGTTGCCATGCTTGCGAGCGTGGGGCTGCAGAGAGCTGGCAAAGTTCGATTGGCGCATATCCGACCCAGGCCCTACTTTGGAACTTGGGCAGATGGAGAAGACTTTCAGAATGGAAGCGATATCAAATAGTCAGTCCAACCAGGACACATTTGCTCCGCAGCAACTTTGTGTACAGCAGCACATTATTCCTTATTTGTTCTGACTCTGACTATATATTTCTAAACCAAAGGAGACACATTGGCTTTCCTGATGTCATGAAGGATTCCGTTTTGCTTAGCAGAGCTGTTCAGTCCATCTGTTTTGCTCGTGCACGTATCGTTTGAAGTGGAGAAAAATGAAAACAGGTCCAGTTCCTCATGCTGGCAGTCATCAGACAGATATAAGAGAGCATCAGACTCACAGATTTATTTTTTCTCCAACTTTATGGTGATATCAATGTGTTGCAAGATGCGACTGAAATTTTCAGCACTGACTGTGTGAAATGCTGATACCTCGCATCCAAGACAACAGCACGAGGACAACACCGGGTGGTGCTACGCCACTCTATGTGCCAGGGTCTCTGCTGAACACAGCGAGACCAAGAAGTCAATGAGAGAAACTCTATTCGACCTGCCTGGGTCTTGCTTGCTGAATTTAATTTGATTTTGAATTCAGTTCTACACTCTCTTCCATAAAACAGCATAATCATAGAAAATAGTCACACTTGTTTTCTGAACATCCTGAACGCCATCCAAGCACATTCACATTCCAGATGCAGAATCTCTCCCCGTTGCTTGAACTGGCCGGCACCCATTCCTCTTCAATTTGAAGTTGTGAGATAGTCGGGAGTCTAGGCAGAAGAACCCCCCGATCACCCTGGACCCGGGGTACGGAGCTACCTCGAGTTACCTTTTTCTAGCCCAGGGAGACGTAGTCAGAAATGCATAGAAATGCTCGTTTGCATGTTGGACTAGCCATGTTGTGTTGGATTCGCCTGAGGTCATGCTACAATGGACACCTTCCAATCGTTCAATATTTGGTGTCGCAGCAAGCAGATGCTTGCAAAAGGACGGACTTTGAACATGTTGAACTTTCATTCTGCGAGATTTTGATGAATTTTGATGGTTCTTGTGACGCAGTGGCTTCGTTAAATGAACCAATTCAGCTTGGTCTTGTGCTTCGTGGCGTTGCCGATCCAATTTGGGGTGACGAGGACCCATAAGGGCATGTCAGGCCCCTTGCAATCCTTTGCAAGGACTCCTGCGGGCGCCACGCTGCTCCATGCAGCTGCACAAGAGGGTCAACTTGAGGCAGCTCTCGCATCATTTTCTGCTTGTAATGCCCCCATCCCATTTTCTTGCCCAGTTCAGGCCCGATCAAGACAGATCAAGACCAGTCTCCGGATGTCTCCGGTAGAATCGGTAGAATCGGTAGAATCAGTGAACAGATGGCAGCACGTTGCAGTGCTGTGCGAGTGACCTCGCGGGTCCTTGAAGGTGGTTGCTTTCTTATGCAACATGTCCCAGGTGGACAAGGACTGTTTTGCGTTTTTTCGTCCCGTGGCACTACTTTCCTGATGTAATTGCAACATGTTGGGCAACATGTTGCAACCACTCCACGGCTTTGAGATCAGGCAGTTGGGATTCTAGAGTTGCAACTGAAAAGAACTTTGAATGATTGAATTTCAAATGGAAAGTCGATGGACACAAACAATTGCAACACTACTGTGGAGTCTGGGTGAATGCTCTCTTGTGCGGCCAGAGGATGCACAGATGCATGATGGTGCCACACCTTTGCTGGCCGCAGCATTACAGGGTCACGTAGAGGTTGTGTGGGGAAGCTAAGACGTTTGGGAACAGGGTGCTTTGTGTGGTGCTCCAGAGGCTCAAGTAATTACCACTTCAATGGGGAACGATTGAGGAACCTAGTTGCTGAGAAGCAATGATCAAATGGAAAATGAACTTGATCCTCAGATGATCCTCAGATGATCCTCAGATGATCGTCAGATCTCATGAGATTTCACTGTGATTCTTTTCTGAGTGATCGTTTTTTGTGTTTGGAGCTCACTACCAGCTTTTAGTACAGTACTGCGATGCACTTTTGGCAGATATCATTTAGTTGCCAACCTGGTGGGGACAACTCACAACTCCGGGAAAATTTCAATTCGGGGCGCGGGGGATAGTTAGTTTATGTCATTTTATTTGGTTTCCCAATGGCTGCACATCCTCAGCCCTCATTTCTATGGGAATTGAACCGCATCCATGTTGGTCTAAATCTGGCTGTCCAAGGCAACACTTGACTCAAGTGAAAGCCGACATCCACAAGACTACCAAGGCGGCTGGCCATTTGGCATCATAGAAATGGTCAAGCTGTAGATTGACTACATTCACATTATTTGGCATAGGCTTGAAAATTATATACTAGCTATCACACTTGTAACATCCGAAGTTTGGCCCCCCACCACATCGAATGGACACATAGTGGACATATATTTATATATATGTATATATATATATATATGTGTATATATATAATATATATATATATGTGGTTTGGTCCAGGACGGAGCATCTGCCCTCCACGCTTGCGCGCGTGCCGTGGCATCAAATCTGGTCGCATGGGGGGACTGATTGATCTAGCTCTGATCGCTGCTTCAACATGCTATGCTTCAACCCACACGTAGATATGTACGATCGAGATATGACTGTACATGACTGTACGTAATATACTGTAATTGAATGGGACTAAGTATATGAATCGGGATATGGAAAGGCAGTTGAATGATCACACAACGAAATTATAACAATAGCTTTGGGATCGAACCTAGAAATTTCAATCCTAGGGCCCATATTGAAACAGATGGGGATTCCATGGCAAATTCCAGATTGGCTCTCCATATTTCTCCAGTGGGTGCAAGTTATGGACGGCAAATGATGTGCATCGTATTGCTTACCTTTTGAGATGTGTATGATTCATATGATTGCTGAATTAGCGATTGGTAATGATTGGTAAAGCACATTCATGGAGTTGACGTGACTGCAGAGCTATAGTGACTTTTACCTGAAAACCAATGAACATGGTTTCAGCACTGGTTGATTTATGTTGATTTGACCCCTGCACTCGATTCTCACCCGGTCGGGATGTTCATTGCCACCTCCAACCGGACAGCACTCTGCTTCAAGGCTCCGGTCATGTGGATGTCGCGCGTTTTCTTTGCGAGGCTGGGGCCGACAAGGAGCCCAGCGATCATCCTGTAGCTGTTACTTGGTCGTCCTTGATGATTTGATTTTTACGCACAAAGTTACAGCGGAAGAAAGCAAAATGCCTGTGATTCTGTGATGCTATAGATATCTTTGGATACGATGGGTTCTATATCGTGAAAACTCTATAGGTCTTTTCCGATACCGTGAGGACCGGGCAATGATGGAGGGTGCCACGCCTTTGTTGGCTGCAGCCTTGCAGGGCCACACCAAGGTGGCCGATTGGATCGGTTGGTGCTGACAGCAGCCTGCAAATGTGACCAACTTGTAACTTCCTATTTTATTAAATTAAATCATGAGCAAAACTACGGACATGTAAACATTCCTCATCCTTCCTCTAGAAGTCAGCCCCTTAATCATTTTCTTGATGGAACAAAGAAACTTCAGAAGCAGTTGCATCCTGATGATTTCAGTGCCGCTGGCAATACTTGAGCGGCCTTGAACGGTGTATTTGCGTTGTCCTTTTGGCGTTACATGCTGAGAAACATTGGGTGTCGGTGTTGACCACCAATCATAGGTGCTCGCATCTTGCCATGCTACAGCCGCCCGCCCTTTCTGGCCTATCCAGCAGCTGTCTTGTTGGTCCGTCAACGATGCAATTTAGGCTTGAAGAATCAAACTCAGTTCTCTACCTAGTCCTCTTTGACAGTGAGATTGGAAGGGAACTTTGCCACTCTAGACAAGACTGCATAAAACCCCAACGTAAAGTAGCTTTGCCTCAAACTCGACCTTGTACTGGGAAGAACGCTTGTTAACGCCTTCGCTTTCCCCTCGTGATGCGGCATGGAATCCGTCACCTCCGTCACCGTGTGCGCGGCGTTCTGTGTGCCCGGCACCTGACGGTTGGGGCGCCTGCGCAAGTGGCCGAGGAGATCAAACGCTTTGGAGCGATGCAGCCGCATCCACAGAGTATCAGCCAGGTGCTCAGCTGCACGGATTCTGTACAGCTCCTGGAGTTCTTGAAGGAGGATGGGAGATGACCGGAGATGATTGGAGATGATTGGAGTATATGGAGAGTCGTGGAGTGGAGTATATCTCTGAACATCGGTTGAATATCCGTTCATATCCGTGCTACTAGTAGATCTAGTAGTCATTGCTTTTCTGGATGAGAGTTAGTCGATGTATGTCGATGTTATTTGAAGTCCACAATTATTGGTTCCTTATTTTTATCATTTTTTCACTTCGCTGGTCTAATAGGTGACATTCCACACGTATTCGGACAGCCGGCTGTTGGAGGAGTATCCGATTCGCTGTGCCGAACGGATTGAACTCATCGAGTCATTGCCGAGCTGGTCCAAGATCGAGGAGTTGAGGGAGGTGCACTCCAGACATTGGATGCTGGACATTGCTGGACCAGTTGGAAAGTTGAAAAAAAGGGAGCTATTGATATTGATTGTTGCTGAGAAACACATTCAAGCCATGTCATCCGATGTCTTTAAGTATTTCCACTGCTTTTCCATGCTTTTCCTGGTGAGATGTATTGAGCCTGTACCCATTGACTTGCAGACCAGCTTATTCCAAATGTTGCGTCAAAACGAGGATGGAGCATACAGCGCATAGGCCATGCAGGTAATCTGCTACCGTTCTTATTGACCTAAAGATATCTAGAGGCAATCCCTGAGAACAATGCAATCCACTTGCGAGAGTATTTAAACATGCCTGAGGTCAGTAGATATGTTCACGCATTGCAGTTTTCTTGTGTTTGTTCGGATACATGTTTCTTCGTCTTCCTACTAGCATCCCACTGATGAAGTGAAACATCATGATATCACCATGATATGGTCATGATATGGTCATGATATGGTTATGATATGATCATGGTGATTCTTGCAGATCTTTGCAGTATATTCATGACTCATTGCTCACCAGCCTGTGATGGCTGAGGAAGAGCTTCAGTGCAATCGCAATGTCTCTGATGCCATGGAGCCTCGGCAAGTTCCAACTGCAGAAATGTTTCAAGGTAACATTTACAGTAGACAGTTCTATCTTAGTGGGGAGAAACATATGTTATTTGATGTTATTTGTATTGTGAAGATGTTCCCTTAAAGCAATCCATTGAGTTACTGTCCCGCTTGCATTTAATGGAATTAAATGCTGTCACTGGATGTATTGTGCTCTTGTATCACGTGTTCCCTCCAGATGAGCTGAGAAACGTGCATCACAGGACAGCTTCACGACTGTTGCCAAAGATATTCTCAGCAACAACAAGGATGTGGTGGGGCTCATGGCAGAAGGAATCCAAAACCTGTCGCAGCTACATCCCGAGCTCTGTGACACTACCTTTGCGGACAACTTTTTGGATCAGTTCCTGTTGAATCGGATCGGATCGAATGTCTTGCTGAACCAATACCTTGCAAGCATTGACAAGAGCCTCTGCAATGACCGTTAGGCAAAAACTCTGCACAAAAGTTGTGGTTGCAAAATTCGTTTATGCTGTTTAACAATGCAACGAGTCAACGAGTTTTGAGATGTTTTGAGTTTTCTGTTTCTAAAATCTTAATCTTATGATGTCTGTGTGTGCTGCTGTTGCCTTGATCTTTGCACCATCAAGGAGCAGGAGAAATCCTGGCACCGTCGATCCAGAATGTGACGTCACTGAGCTTTGCAAGGAGACAGCAGAAGAAGTGCGGCGGATCTGTCGCTACTACCAGATGCCAGTCCCCAACATTGGAGTAGAGACCCATGATGTGACCACAGACGAACACGCTGATTTGAAGTTTGCATTCATCCCTGGGATCATCAGCTACATTGTCCAGGAAATTCTGAAGAACAGTGTCAGGGCGACATTGGAGCTTTATTCATCAGACCTTGATCGACATCCCATTCATATTATCATTTGCCGCGAGGCTTCTGTTGATCATTGAATTTTTGCTTTTCTTTTGTGTCCTTGTTTTGAGGCAGCAGGACCACACCAGAAATCCCAGAGCACGGGGCATTTCCTTGGGAAGTTTGTGCACTGTAAGTCTGTGAGCGATCAAATCCAATTTCAGCAATCAGGGGGGCGGGCCGGCGGGCAGATTTGTTCAAGAGCATCCCTTTATGTGCATAGCAGCAAGGGATGTAGTGGGACTTGCAATTAAGGTGGAGATCAAAAGAGAGTTTTAATCCACATCAGTGATAGAGCTGGCGGGATACCCTTTGATGCCACACAGCGGATTTGGTCGTACCTCTACACCACTGCAAAGGAAACTTGGCAGAGTTTGGTGAATTGGAATACCACGACTAGAAGAGTTCTATCTGGGGGATTCTGGGGGTCAAGACAAGTGGGAGGACACATGAGGACACTGCACCTTCCATCACCTTCCATCACCTTCCACTTGTTGTTGTTTCTTCATGGTGATGCCGAGAAGCGGCTTCCTTCCATGAAGCCCTGTTTGACAAGCCTCAAAGACGTCAACCCGTTTCAAACCGTTTGATCGGCGCGTTTGCAGCTGTCAAACAGTTTGTTGGTTCTTTTTGGAGTATTTCTATCTCTTCTGAAGCAATACGCCACAAGACACATCATGTATGGTTGATCTTGGCTGCAAGCATTCAACCCTGGAATGGCAACATAGACTCCTTCCATCGGTTTTTATGACTATTTGACACCAATCGGAGTGTGTCTGACAGCTTCGAATGACGTCAGAGCATGATGCTGTGCCACATCCAAGATTCAAAAGCGATTGTTTTACCAAGGTTTTGAACGTTCGAATCAACATTCAGATCCGCTCCAGATAGACCGAATATATCCGAATATTATGCAGCCGTTTTTATTAGATTTGCCTGAGCCTAGAATACCCTAGACGTGTTGCCTGGCCCCAGTGCCACTTGAAACTTGAACCCCACACTGACTTCCATTGAAAAAGAAATGAACTCTTACTGCATGGGTAACCAATGGTAACCATATATCAACTTGAAGTGAACTCAGGAAGGACAAAGCTTTCTTGCAGGATATGGTATCGGCCTTCCTGTTTCTCGTGTCTCGGCCAAGATTCAGATGATTACAGTATGAATCTGGATACCATTGGATACCCTTCTCTCACCAAGAGTTCAAAAATAACATGAGATGAACTGGCTGTTTTCAGATTGGTCAGTTTTAGAGCCAGGTTTTGTTTGGGTTTGTATGATCATTATGATCCTTACCATTGGAGGGTGGGGTATCCCATGTGCATGATCGGGAGAGCTCCATGCGGGTCAGTCTGTGCTGCCATTTGGTCAAAATAGCTCGCGAGGTCTTTACGCAAACTATCTGGGTGGCTCATTGAATTTGGTATCCTTGCCCGGCTTTGGCACACATGCCTATGTCTTCTTTCCCCGGCTTAACAATGAGCAAGTGGAGATGGTACCGGACAAAGACCATCCGGTTGAACGCCACAACGTCAACGTCATGTGAGATCCGACTTTTCCAATATTATGTAGAATCTAAGATCAGCAAGAATACATTAATATTGTATGATGCCTATATATATATATACATGTACACGTATATATAATTACAGTGTATATATATATATATATACATATGATATATGCTTATATGATATAGTATATGGCAAATTGTTGGAACATGATTTTGGTATTCAGCCAGAGCACACGAAATCTTGCAAATGACCGAACTTCATGACATTGACACGAGTCATGTCAGTCATGTGATGCCACAGCAGGAGATTCTGCCCTAGTGACACCACTACAGTAATTACCGGTTGGAGATTACTATGTGCACTACCTCATTTCTGTTTTGCAAGGTGTCTCTGAAAGATAGTGTGACTGAGAATCCCATGCCATACCTTCTTAAACAACACTGAACAACTAAATGACATGGTCTTGCCTCATGACGCTTGCCATGTTGTGGCTGTTGCAAATTTGCCATTCTGCTAGCTTGATCTTGGTGGACATATTTCTTGGAGTAGATGGCGTCTACCAGGCATGATTCCAATTTGCTTGGGCAACATACATAGAAGCAAAACGGTCCTATACTTAATTCCCTTTTTTCATTTTTTCTATGTTGTTGTGTTTAAGAAACATTGAGTTATTTTTTTGCACATTGGTTCAGATGTTGGAATTACAACACTTCCAGGCTCAAACTTGTCACACATTGGCCTCAATTGAAAATTCCGTGATGGTCATGACCATGAAAAACTAATCATCCAAGGATAAGCCGCCGATGCTCAAACATCTTATCCCTCCAGCCTAGGGACACTAGGGATAGTCATAACTCATACCAGTTTGTCAGCTGATGAATTTGTCTCTGTAGCACCTTGTTTTAGCCTTGGCCAGCATCACGCCGCCCAAAGGGTGACGAGGAGTTCAGTTGAAATGGCATTTCTCGGGACTCCGAACTCACTGACATTTGCCCTCAGTGTCTTCGGAAAAGAATTAAGTTTCAATCTGTAGAATACTAGGGCTAGGTAACTTTTAAGTGGGAGTGATGTGAGGTTTTTGAATGCACAACCGAGCACTGTGCAAGATTTTCTCCATAAACTTTATGATTTAAGTATTGTTCAAATGTTTAAAATGCATTTTAAAAGGAACAATGTGCTTTGCCATCTGAGTCGATTTCATAGACTTCCTTGGTTGTCTGCCTTGGTTGCCGAAGCCAAGAACAGAATTCATGCAATTTTACAGGCACAAAATGGGTAATGTCGTTTGGTTGGGATGATTCTGTTCGGCAGAACATGCTGCAGGTGGTGAAATACCTGTGCGAAGCAGGAGCTGACAAGGAGAGGTTGTTGATCAGGTGTTATCCATGTCAATGTATAGTATAATTATTCATGTGCGGAGGAATTTTGAGGAAACCATCTGGCTACTAACATGTTTGTCTCATGACAGCCGCGGTATCTTATATGCAGATTCCCATTCCAAAAAGTAATGCTAACGCTTTTAAACTGTGACGTGTCATGTTCGACCTGCAATTACGATAGCCTCAAAAAGACGCAGATGTGCATCCTGCATCATTTAGACCAGAATCGAGGTCAAAGTAATTGTACATCATATATATATATATATGTATTCATACTAACTATATAATCATACGATATATGTATATATTATATATAATTAATATGATATAATATGTATATGTATCGATTTTATCTTGAAGTCATGAAGAGCTCCCACCAGGATCGAACCATTTGTGATGGTGTCACTGCCTTTCACGCAGCAGCCGAGTGCCTTGGTCAGCATGGTGGTGGCCATTCCTTGTGAATCCGTGCGCGAATCAAACTAGGGCTAAGAAAACTTCTCCACTAAAAGTATTGTCTCTTGGATCCCCTTAACCCACTTGTTAATTTGCTGATTCGTGCATCCTGAAATTATGCTGAAGTCAGGGAAGGAAGGTACTGCTAGTTTTGGTGGGCAAAGCAGGGTTTCCACGCACCATCAGGCCCACGAGACGTTTGAACACGCCCAGCTACTGCAATGCTTACAGATCTTACAGTGTGTTTGTGCAGTTTTCACAAAGATAACAAAGGCAAGCAACAGAAGACAACCCCAGACTTTGCACAGAGCAAACTCAATACTAGTGCCCCACAAAGCTACAAGCTGGCTGCACTTGACTGCAAGGCGGGGACATGCTGAAGTGATCCAGTGCCTTTGTGAGGCCAGGGGGCCAGGGGGCCAGGGGGCTGAGGAATTTTCAGCCAGACGGATAGTTCAGCAAACTACACAAAATGCTCTTGGGATACTGATGTATAATTATTGTCAAACTCAGGGGGTACATTCTAGGTGATCAAGATCATGAGTTGGTGTGTGTTTGTTTGATGATGTTTGATGATAGGTGGTGTAGGGTGGATTGAATGTTTCGAGGGTTTTGGTAGTTCTTGGTTCTTTAGAAGTTGTGTATTACAAACAAATACTGAGGCCCATCAAAGGAAAGAGAGGGACTCGGGTCACCTGGACAAACTTTCAGAATCCGGAGCATGCCGTGAGCTGGTGCAACGATATGGCGTGAAACATATAAAGACCAATGAACAATGAAACATCCAGATCTTGAAAAGGAGAATGAACTTTTGCTTACAGTGTTACTGTTCACCGGTAACTCTTTGGTTTCCCAGTTCAAATTGCCAGGTTGGTGCCAACAAGAATCAGGCCATGCGCAATGGCCTGACGCCCCTCATGGCGGCCTGTTTGCAAGGCCATGAAGAGGCCGGAGCCCAAAGTTCTCTGGAGAAAAGCAGGTTTTGAGCTTTTTTTTTTTCATATTTGGCAGTTTTTGGTGTACCACCCATTTTTAGACACACCCACAATATACATATATATATACACATGTATATATACGTATATATATATATATACATTGTTGCTCTTACAGTGTCGATTGAAATTCATGTCCAATGAAGTAGGTGGACCAGGGTTGGGCATGTTGCAGGTCGTCAAGGTTCTTTGCCAGAACGGAGTCGTTATGGAGACCTCCATGAGAGAGGACCCACATGGTGGGACAACTGTGGCAGCGGGACCTGGATTGCGTGAGTTCATGAGTTGCACCACTGTCTATACACAGACACAATATTACACAATGCAATACTTGAAAGATCTTGAAAGCTACTGTTGCCATATTGGGTAATTAATGCAAATACACACACAGACTATTGATTTCTTCGGATTGCATGAAGCTTTGGTGAGTTTTTCACAGTTGTAGCAACTGAGTGATGCCGACGCCATTGATATGAGTTGGTGAGCCACATCAGGATTTGGTCTTGGCATCCGTACTGCTCAAGGAGAAGCAGCGGCTTGGACTGACACAGGAACAGTGGCTGCCTTCTCAAGTGAAATTGCGGCGTCTTGACACCAAAGAATGATGCAACTACGACTACATCTAACTCCTTTCTTAATCCACATATCTCTATATATCTATATATCTATATATCTATATATATATGTATCTATCTATCTATCTATCTATCTATCTATATTATGTGTATAGTAGTATTGAAATACATTGCAGATGACCGAAGAACCAGAAAGGAATCATCACACTTCAGCCATGCCCAGGCCATGTTCGCAGATCTTTCTCTGCGATCCGTTGCCTTCCAAGGCGCGATCCGTAGCCTGACTGATTCTGACTGGTTGGGGTGTGCCACTGTACAGAATGACAAGATCTACTGGAATGTGTTTATATGTGTAGAAATATCATTTTAATTTTATGTCATCAAGCTTTCTAGTTAGTTTGAATAGGTAAAATAGACTAAAATAGCCAGACCATTGGTATAGCTCAAACACGCGAAAAGGCAGAGTTTCATACAACTTGGATTGCTAAGTCCATCTATTTTTTTGCGCACGCACCCAGAAGATCCCAGAAGAGTCTTCTGCCGGAGGTAATTGTGAATCAGATTTTGCATCAGAATCAGTCTTATTTTTTCAGGCTACCAGTCACTCTGCGTTTCCAGGATAGCAACACACTTTAGTGGTACAACGGTCTGTTATTTGGGCCGCAGCACTGAACAAAACGGCAGCAATGAGGACAAGAAGGTGCATGCGTCTGAAAGCTCTGCACCCAACGGCAAGCCGGATTGCTCAGAGTGATATGAATAGTTTGTGGGTTGTAGTGGCAGTTCAAGTCATGGTCAAGATGACGCAGTATTTCGCGACATTAGTCCATAGTGCGGCTGATTGGTGCCAATAGTAAGTGAAGGATATGATTGACAGCAGCATGATCTTTCTGTACATTCACAGGCAGACATGTTATCGCTTTGATGGCACATTTTTATTCGATCCTGAATGCAGCATTGCTTGGACTGCATTAGTGTCACGATCCGCATATGATCAAAGAAGTGTTTCTTGAGTGAACTGTCAAAGTATTTGCGATCTGATGTGAGGCAAGGGGCAACATCACTTCATGTGGTGTTGATCTCAGTGTCAATTTCGACCTGCCATTTTGGATTCCAAAAACAACACACATCATTTCATGGAACATCCATGATTATGACATATACTGTATTAACAATATTGTTATATATCAGCTAATCTACAGTGTATATATATATATATATCATCAATTTTCATCATATTATTGTAGAGCTTCGCACACCGGCGATGCCTGTAGGGGTCGGGGGAAAAATGTATAAAAGATTGATCCTAAGAATATTTCTAAACTCATATTATAGCAGTATAACAACTCAAAAAAATATTCAAAAAAAAACCATAACAACCAACCGCAATTACCTCATTCATTCCTAAAAATCATCACTACCTACCATCAATCACCTCATTCATTCCACAAAATCATCACTACATACCATATCATCATCTCATTCATTCCTCATAAATCATAACTACTAACTATCTATTACCTCATCCATTTCACAAAAACATAGCAGTCAATACATCATCACCTCATCCGTTCCATACCCAAAACCAAACAACAACCCAACAAACAAAAAAACAAACAAAGCAAAGAACAATATAAAGAACAAAGCAACAAACAACAATAAATATTATTCCTTAGTTTTTAATAATCCCATCTTTCAAATACATAATTCTAATAGATAAATATTCTTAGAAATATGTTAGTAGTAAATGTATTCAATAATTACTAATTTAAAATGAAATGCCTGTATTCCTATTATACTATCTTTATCTCGGTCTTCTTCTATGTCGGTTTTTATTTCTTCAACTGCTTTCTCGAATATTTCATCTATATTATCTTCATCTACATATTCATCAAAGTCATTCATAAAATAAATCTCTCTATAACTAAATTCATTTTCTCCATATTCCTTTTCTGGGAGTTTTGCCACTAATTGAACTTCAATATCAAGTTTAACTCTATAATTTGAATCATCTTCTACTTCATCATAATCAAAGTTAGTAATTCTTCTTGTTCTTCTTTTATTATGTCTTCTAAACTTTTCAAACTAAATGGCACTCCCTCTCTCATAATACACCACTCAATTACATATTTTTTTTTTCTTGATTTCAAATGTCTTGTTATTTTAGGACCAAGTCTTGAAATCTTATATTTGTTTTGTATTCTCTTTAATGCCTCAATATGATTATATTTAAATTTCAAATATTTAGGGTCTCCAATCTTATAAGACACAATTTTACTCAGCACATCAACAGGTAAATCCTTCACACAATCCATCCTACTAATATACTTAAATAACTATTCTTTAAGTATATATTCAAAGATTAAATTAAGGCATTCTTTAAAAAACTACTTAAAGATAAATTAACTAAATAAAATATATACTATTATATGATGAAAAAAGTTATAGACATTTATTGAGTAATGATTTAGCAGAAATACCAAAAAGAGGAAGAAAAGAATTGAAAACAATAGTAATAGACAACAATAAATTTAGATACAACAAAAACAAACCCGTATCAAATGTTTTAACAAAGAAACTATTATCAGTAAAGAAAACCAATGAATACAGAAGTTATGCTTTAAACAAGGCAAAGGATGCGTTTAGTGAAGGAAAAGTCAGAAACCTACTAACCAAACACGCAATACATAACAAATTTAAGGTCAGAGATATTCAATCAGCATTTAGAAGATATGCTAATTCAATAGTTTTAGAAAATAAACACTTTGAAGGAGAAAGAGGTTTGGACATGATTGCTCATCAAAAACAAAGACTGTTAGAATTTCTAAGAAAGAATAGAAGCATGAAACTTAACATAAGAACGGAAGCATTATTTGAAAAACCTGAATATGATGATGGAGGAAATGAAATTGGAAGTCAGGAACTTGTGTATGCTCTACCATCAACGCGCTTTAATATCAGTAATGAAGATGAACTAACACAAGCATTAGAAGACAGTGTTAAACAAATCTTATTACAAATACAAAATTTAGAAGCATCAGCATCAAATTTACGCTTCAAAAATATTTTGACAATAACTATTCACTATGACAGATATGACCCAACAAGAGCAGGTAGATACATAGAATTACCAGAATGGATTAAGTTAAAAAAGGCATGTATCAACATCAAAAATAAAGACCAAAAATGCTTCAAATATTGTATTCAATCCGTAGTCTATGACAAAATTAGCAAACATCACCCAGAGAAAATGTTTCACTATAACAAATTGAAAGATGATATTTTGAACTGGGATGGTGTGAATTTTCCAACGGGTAATAGGGACATAGACAGGTTTGAAGAGAACAACAAGTTAGTTTCAATAAATGTTTTTGAACCTGATGACTGCCTAAATGATAATAAAATTATCTTACATAGAGGCACTAAAAACAGAAATGCTAAATACGAAATAGATTTGTTAAAAGTCTATGATGAAGATAATCACTATCATTATGCATTAGTAAAAAACAAATGTAGATTATTAAACTGTCAGAGCAGTAGCAACACTAATAAAAAAATTTACTGCCACCATTGCTTAAATCCATTTCAATCAGAAAAGGCATACAAGAACCATCTTGAAAAAGGATGTATGGCATCGGAAGGACAACAAACAAAGATGCCTGATAAAGACACTTATATAGAATTTGAAAAACATAATACTAAATTGCCTTGTCCTTTTGTAATCTATGGCGATTTTGAATGTCTAACCACTAACTCTAACAATGGAATAAAAGGCACATATCAGGAACATAAACCGTGCGATTTGGAGGCAGACTAGTGCCTAACGTTGCTTTCTGAAGCCACGAGAAAGCCCCTTGGCTCTTGGAAAGCGCCCAGACTGGTGCAAAAGCCACCAGAATTGCGCAAAAGCCTCCGGCACGGGCGCCGCGAAGCATTTGGAGGCAGACTAGTGCCTAACGTTGCTTTCTGAAGCCACGAGAAAGCCCGTTGGCTCTTGGAAAGCGCCCAGACTGGTGCAAAAGCCACCAGAATTGCGCAAAAGCCTCCGGCAAGGGCGCCGCGAAGCATTTGGAGGCAGACTAGTGCCTAACGTTGCTTTCTGAAGCCGCTAGAACACCTCTTTGTCTGAAGCCACTATCTTTGTCTGAAGCCACTATAGAAAAGCTTTCGGAAGGCGCCCGGAAGCATTGGGAAGGCCCGGAACCATGCGGAGGGCGCCCGGAAGGATTTGAAGGGAAGCTGTGCTTAACGTCGCTTTCTGAACCCCTACAGCAAAGCTCTGGGAGGGCGCCCGGAAGCATTTGAAGGGAAGCTGTGCCTAACGTCGCTTTCTGAGCCCCTTAGAACACTTCTGGGAAGATGTCTGAATCTACTATAGAAAAACTCTCGGAAGGCGCCCGGAAGCATGGGGACGGCGCCCGGAACCATGCGACGGGCGCCCGGAAGCAGCTTGAACGGGAAGCATCTAACGCCAAGCTACTGCCTAATGCTCAGGGCTTAACGCCACTTTTCCTCGGGCGCGCTCCCCCTGCAGATGGTTGGGGTCGGCGGATATGGTGGCTGGTGATAGTTGAAAATATGCTGCACAACGACAAAGATCCAAAGCCTGGCCGCCCAGGCTGCATTGCACGGCCATCTTGGTGTTGTTAAGGAACTATGTAGGGACCTTAGTTGAGCAAACAAAACTGGTGATCCGGTGATCCTTTCTTTTTTGCTCTGGCAGATTGAACGGGTGAACATGGGTGAACGCATGTGGTCCTTCATCATCCTTCATTAAATCAAATGTCAAAAAAAATTGACGCGGAAATGCTTCGGTTGTCCAGAAACAATCCAAATCTTCGTTTCAGGTGAGGCCCGTGCAAATTTGGAGGCGCAAATGCGAGTGCGGGCTCCCAGCTGGCCTGTGATTTGTATCAACGTATCAACGTTTAGGTCTCTTGCTATGCGAGACTAAGAGAAACATGGAGAAATTAGAGGATTCCTGTATATCACTGCATGCTAGGTATCAGCTTAGAAGCCTAACACACCATCGCCCACCTCCTGTGTGTTTGGTTGGTCAATCTAGGCTGCACGCTGCAAGCTCTCAAGCGCTTGTTGACATGGTGGGATGAAGGTAAAGTACATATATAATTATAGTTATATAGTTATACAGTTATACATATAATTTGATCCAAATTTGCTTCACACCAGTGGGTACTTATGTTTTTTGTGCAGTGCACTTGATACTGAGGTTAGTGTACTCTATTGGTGTCCATACTAGCTTTCTCTGATATGCACTTTTCTACCCAGCAAACTGTCATAAACCCTGCAACATGGGTGCAGCAACAAGTGACCTCGCTGATCCTGGAGATTTGCCTCGGGTCCGTTATGTTCAACCCTCCAAAGATGCGGCGGGAAACACTTTGACCTGGAACGGTGTGAAAAAACTTCGAGTGTCGCACGAATCCCCAGAGAATCCCATCGAATTCCATCAGATTGAAATCTCTGGTGTGGATGGCATCAACTACGCACTGAAAGAGAATGGAGGAACTGCAGCACAATCCAGCAATGCGTATCCACCAGATACACCTTGGGGCCATGCTTCCTGCGTCATAGATGGAGATCGATATGGCTACTTCAATCGCACGGCCTGCCTTCCGAATGGCTGGTTGGATGTGACTCTGTCTGAACCTCGGTGGATTGAGAGTTTTGCCATCTTCAACAGTGGTTTCGATATGTGTGTCTATGCAAATGGCCACTTGGTTCAGCTCTTAGACCAAGAGAACCAAGTGGTCTACGAGCATCGGATTTCCGTGGAGGACATATCCCTTTTTGATCCCAACCAGCTATGTGCCTTGAAGTTTATCAACGAGGAGTCCAAAGTGGTGACGCTGAAATTGATCTTGGCCAGCTCCGACGTTGCAACCAAGGTGCAGCTGTTAGATTGGAAAAGTCCGTGACTTCTTCTCCATAAAGATCTGTATTGGTGAGGGTGATCATCAGTGAGTCCCTGACTTTGTGTGAGAAACATTCCATAACATTCCTATCCGTCAGAGGCAATGTAAATTGGCATTGTTACAGTTTCAGTTTTGGATCATCCATTTACTAAAATCGTAAATATTCAATGTATCTCTGGAAAACGATCATCGCAGATGTTTGTTATGTTTTTTTTAATCAAACAGCTTGGACATTTTCCAGTCATTGCTGCTTTGTCCCATAAAGACATTGATCAAACATGTTGGGATTGCGGCGTTTTCCCAAAATTTTCCCCATTGATCACAGATTTATCCCGCAGCCTCCAGGTCAAAGTCTTCGCTTCTTACAGCTTGAGTGGTCGACCGCTGAATCCCTTTGACTTTTCCATCGCAGAGCCTGAAGCTGTGCAGAATCTGTGTCAACGGATTTATGCCACGACAGGCATTGTAACACATCAACAAAGGCTACTTCTTGAGGATGGCCAAGTCTTGAGAATGCGCTCTGGCGCTTGGGAACCGCGAGGTTCCTTACATGAAATTTGCCCGAGTTTATTGAGTTTATTGTCTGCAGAAAAGACATGCCAAGACTTGGATTTGGGCAGTTGACGAGGTGGCCAAAGTGGCGCAACTGGCTACGCAATGCTTCACATATGTGGGATTCAAGGTAATTTTTAGTGCTCAGTTCTGTGGGGAATCAGCACGGATGTTTGGGTGATTTGGGTTGATTTGGAGTGTTTGGCTGACGTATCTTGATCTAAGATTATCTACGTACTTTGAACTTGAGCGAGAACATGTTGTTGTTCTGTTGATTGTTTAACCATGTTTGATCTTTGCCAACAACTGTGACTGTAGGAGATGTGTTGTGCCATTCTCCTACAGCCAATCAATCAAGACGGTGTGCACCACTTGTCGGAACACAAAGCTGGCAAGATCCAAAAGTTGACACTCTGGAGGCATCCTAGGCCCACTAGGCTTGCAACATTTGAATTGCCTGCCTCGTTGGACACCTGCACCCAAGAACGTCCAAAATCTCAGCTGATGTAGACCAAAAAAGACCAAATGACATCATAAAGCGACTGTTTGTCAATTTGTAGAGATGTTTGAATGGTATTTGGCATTTGGATGCTGCTTACTAGTGTAGATTCTAACATATTCTAACTCTAACCTTCAAGGTTGAGACATCAAAGCCCATCAAAGCCCTTTTCCGACTCAAGCTTTGCGGCAGCTGTGCTGCATTCCACGGTATGGGTGGTGGTGCTTCGGCTGTTGCTACAGTTTCAACTGAGGCGCGGGATTTGTGAAGGTCGACGTGGATACAATACACTGATGCACAATGTTTGTTTTGGGGTTCACTGAACCAACCATTTGATCATATTTGATCCATTTTGTCATCACCAATTTGAGTAGCAGTGGATCTTGCTGAAATTTGATATACAGTACGTCTAGAAGCAAGCTAGGAAAATGACATGAAATGACGCTTCGCGCAGCTCCTGAGAGGAACTGCGCGAGGCTTCAGATAGCCTTTCCCCAGAGCTCCGTCAAAAGTGACCTGGTGGCATTACCCTTCGGTCATCAATGTTATCTAAATTCGCAATAGGAAATCCCTTATATTGACTCTAATATAATATTATAGATATATATACATAATATGTAAAAGGCCGGTCTTAATGGGACAATGATCAATGAAAATGGGGGATCTATGACCATTCTATGACATGTCTATGATCATTTCTAGTGTAAAGTCACAGTAGAAATCAGTAGAATCTATGGCATTTATGGTGATCATCGCCTCAACTCTGTCCTTTGTTCAGGATCTTGACAGCTCTCAAGATGGTCGAAGCTGAAAGGCTCGGTGCTGGCTGGCTGGGCGGACATGTCGAATCTGCTGAACACCTGGTTTACTGAATGGTAAATACAGTACTTTGTACTTCCTGGATCTTGCTGGTCCTTGGATGTCTATATAATATGGATTCTGATCTGTAATCATTATTATCACACATCGAAAACATATTTATATATACTAGTCGATATATGCCATGTAGATCTTCTTGGCATGCGAGCAAGGGTCACACGTAGCCTTGGACCACCTGATGCGTCATAGTCCGAGACCAGGACCTCAATGTCTGTCATGTCATGTCCTAATCTCCGCGGGACATCATGCCAGTCATGCAACAGTTGCCAGGGACGGGACAATCATCAGCGTCAACTTTGAAGCAGATGATGATCCTGAAAAGGTGAAGATATTTGCCACAGTGGACGAGACAAAGAGAAACCTTGACCCATTTGCGCAGTCAATTTCAGAACCAAATGCGATCGAGAAGCTTGTTGGCAAGTGGTTTGGACAAGTGTGTCTATAGCATGAACTTGATTTGGCTATGGATCAATACCTATTAATACCATTTTTAGGGGGATGAACATCCATTTACCAGCTATTTTGATGTTCACCAGGGGTACAAGGTTTTGGCACACTGCCATTTCTTAACACTCAGTGGCTGAGTTTTGAGCCTTTGACTCATCCCTAGAAATGGTTTCGCTGTTCTGGATTTCTTCAACACCATGGATACCATGGTGATTGGAAGCTTGTTCTTGTTGTGAAACCAGTGGCATGTTCAGGGGTCCCGGCGTGCTTGAAATGTCAGCTTTTTGCAGCATTCAAACAGGACATGAGGGTGGTAGGATCGCTGTTGAGTGCCCATCAGCTACCAGGAATATGTGCCGCATCATGTACTTCCAATCTGGGATTGGTGCGCATCAACAACGGTTGAAACTTCCAGATGGAAGGCTAGTTCAAGTTGAAGGTCCCGATTCGGGGAAATCCTTGGTGCCATGGCCACGGCTGGTTGAACGGGAAGATTGTTTCTTACGGTCACAAGGTTCGGTATGAGCGACGTCCCTTCGTTGTTCAAGAAGTGCGAAGCAGCATGCATTTTATTTGTATTCTCATAGAACAACCACATATTGGGTTCATAATAATATCACGCGCACACACACATGCACACATAGTGTGTGTATTATACGTGCACCTATATATATAATATAATATACATATAAGATTGAATATTATTGTAAAAACTCCTGCAGTAAAACCATGTAGTGTATATATCATCGATCTACTCTGTAGCGTTGGTTCAAAACAGGACTAGCTGCTTAACGGTTGTGTTGCATTTTACCCCATTTCCGGTTGACCTGGTAAAATACAGGTTATCAGCCGTAGTCTCACTACTTTGCTATGGGGACCCCAATTGACCATCCTCTCGCCGTTCCAGGGTCAGGTCCATCGGCTGTCGCTGTGCCCAATGTGGCCGGGGGCAACCCCGAGCCGATGGATGACGAAACAATGTTCCAACCCGTTGTCGCGTACTTTACCTTCATACAAAACAACCTGTCCCAGATTACTAGTGGGAATACCCTGCAAGTCATGAGGGAAGCTGAACAGAGGCACCTTCAGATAATGCATGGAGTAGTTGACTCAATTCGAAACGAATGGTCAAGTAGACTCGTAATGCAGGAGCAGGAGTATGAGCAAAGGCTGCAGGAGATTGAAGGTAAGGCCATTAGTGCCGTCAACGAGGAGAGGAAACGAGGCGATGAGATGGAGGTCAGGTTGAATCAGGCTCAGGCATCGAATGACAAAAGAATAGAGGATGTAAAGGCAGAGGCAAACACAAAGCATGATCAGAAAATTGCAGAGGAAAGGCAACGTATCACTAGTGAATTCGAAGCTTCCTATGCACAGACAGTTGAACATGCAAAGAATGCCATAGCTGCCACAAAGAAGCAATATGAAGATCAGGCTGCAATTGATCAGGCCAGGTTCATCAGTTTGAGGACCGAGTTCGAGAACTACAAGAAGGAGATGGCCGACAAGATCAATGAGGCAGCGGCTCAGAACCTTAGCCTTCAGGACCAAATCGATGACCTTCAGGAGCAGTTAAGGCATGTTGCCAAAGCGCAGCATGCCTCCGTTCCGAGAGCATCCGCCCTGAATGCCGAGCCGGCCGCTACCACTAGCGTGCCCCACTTCAATATTGCCACTCCCAAAGCATCCGATGCACAGGCTGCCAAAGGCAGTGACGAGCCGATTCATGAGTTGAAGACGCCTGCAGTGTTGGCACAAGAAGCAAAGGCCAAGTTGGATGAGCTGCTCAAAGGTGGCAGTCCCAAGCAAAAGCCGGCGGTCGGCAACGACCAGCCCCAATTGCCAACGCAGTCAGGGTTTTTCACTCCCACTGAAGCTATCAAAACTCCCCCAAATGACTCCCCCAAGAGCGTAACCAAGCAACAGCAAGTTATGGGTCCCTCAGATCTTATTGAATTGGTGAAAGCCTTAACCCAAAGGGAAGAAAAGGATAAGCCAAAAACTAAGGAGGCCGAACTCATCAAGCTGAACAACATGCCCGCTCCGGAGTCGTATAGGACTTGGAAGAATCATGTCAGGGATGAAGTGAAAAGCTGTTCAGATCGCCCGGATGAGGCGTGGCTCTGGCTCAATGAAGTGTACGATCAAGAGTGCACCAGAGAGCAGTTGGAGAAGAAACTCCAAGATCCTGGAAAGTTCCTCACGCTGGATACAAAGTTATCAGCAGCGCTCACGCGCTCAGCCGGAGGGGACCTCGCAACTAGGATCTTGAATTTCAAGGAGCAGCAATCCCGAAAAGGCATCCAGGTCAGGGGAAGGTATGTTCTGCTCATGTTTGAGGACTACTTCAAGACATCAGAAGAAGCAGGTAGCCTTTACAGAGTAGAAGATCTTTTGGGTGTTGTCAAAGTAGGCGATACTGTCCAGGATCTCCGAAGATTCATCAACAAATGGGATGCTACCCTAGCTGGCATGGCTGTCACCCCCGATGATGCTGTGTTAAGGGACATCTTGTTGAGGCAGATCCGACCAAGTCAGTTGCTGAAGTATGACATTGAGATGTTTGACCGTGCTCATGAGAAATCCCATGAAAAGTCTTATAGTTTTCTTCACCAATCCATGAAGAACTTGATCGATCGTGAACGATTGAGGGAGAACAGGAACCGCATCGCGGAGAAGAACAAGGCTGGGATCAAGGACACAAAGGCCGCACCTGCCAAAGGCGATGGTCGCGGTGGCCGAAAGGGTTCCCCAAGTCGTGGTAGATCGCAGGAACGAGGTGGCAAAGGTGACAAGATTTGCTATAAGTTCCAAAAGGGTACCTGTGATAAGGGGAAGAAATGTCCATTTAAGCATGTCAAGGATGACAAATCTCGAACTCAATCACCCAGAAGAACCAAAACACGTTCACCATCAAGGGGCAACAAAGATGATAAGGGGAAGAAAATGTCCAAGGAAGAAATGGCCAAAACCCCATGTATCTATCATGCCCAGGGAAAGTGCAGACGTGGTGACAAGTGTTTTTATAAGCATGATGACAAAGCTGCTGCCGCCACCAAAGACACCAAAAGGGCCAATTCACCCGCTCCCAAAAAGAAGAGCAAGGATTCCACAGCCGCTCCATGCCTGATCCAGAAGTTTGCATGCATCGTGCGAAAACAGCCGAAGGCAACTTCGTGCTCCGATGAGTCAAGTGTCAGCATGAAGCGCCTTAGATTCCGAAAGGCCCCACATGTGATCGAGGTGAAAGCAGTTGGTCGTCAAGTCCCAGTCAAGCACCGTCC